CGTTGGCAGGGACTAATTGCAAGATTGTTTGTGGTTGCTTGTCCTTATTGTGTGATTAGTTACGCTTAAGTTTCTTTTAGCATTTGTAGTGATAGTTATAGGTAGTAGTAGGAGTAATTATTTAGTTCATTTCTCTTGATAAGTTTGATACTTTTGTATTCGATCTGAACACACAGGTAACCCTTGACGTATACGAGGAAGACTGGAAGTTATTTTGGAAGAGGTTACTAAAGAAGACTCCAATTCAGGACAAATTGAAAACACACCAGAGATTTAGCAACAACCCCAGCTTCTTCCACCACCACCACTTGAAATAGAACAACAAGAAGACATGGTGGAAGAAGATGAGAATGATGTATATACGCTGGATAACTATTTAGATAAAGAAGGGCAGAATTTTCATTTGAGTATCCGGCTACCTGACATTCAAGCCAGGAATTTTGAAATCAAGCCCGTTATGATTCAACTACTAGGGATGATTGGTACTTTTGAAGGAAATTTTAATGATGATCCGAATGAGCATTTGACCAAGTTTATAGAGGTTTGTGAGAACTTAAAACAAAATGGGGTTACTAAAGACGCACTACGGTTGAGATTATTCCCCATGTCTTTATCTCACAAGGCAAAAACGTGGTTGAATTCTTTGCTAAAGCACTCAATTAAGGCTTAGGATGAGCTTGTGTCTAAGTTTAAGGCCAAATTTATTCCAAAAGGCAAACGTGCTACATTAAGGGGTGAATTGCTTTCTTTTGAGCAGCATCTGGATGAGTTATTCTACGAGGCTTGGGAAAGATTCAAGGATATGTGGAGAAATTGTCCAAATCATAAGCAAAAGAAATATGTTCTAATGGAAGCCTTCTGGAATGGGTTGAATGATCAGACAGTGACAATGCTGAATACCGCTTCAAATGGAGGAATCAGAAAGATGAAGGTAAATCAGCTATACGAATTGTGTGAAGAGGTAGCGTCTAGCACTATGCAACAATATAATAAGAGGAGGCAAAGTTCTGGGAGATATAAGGAGCCTAGCTCTTTATCATCAAGAGATATTGCATCACAACTTGAAGCGATCTCTAAGAGATTTGATAATCTGGAACTGCAGATTAAGAAGGGAAATGCTGTAGGAGTTCATGCACTTCAGGCTTTGGGATACACTTGTGACCACTGTGATGAGGAACATTATTCTGATCAGTGCCCATACACCTTGGAGACAGTCAATTATATGAATAATGTGCAACGAAGACCACAAGGAAGCCCTCACTCTAAAACCTACAATCCAATTGAGAAATCACCCAAATTTCTCATGCTAAAATGGGCCAGGTTTGAACCCATCACAGATATTATCATCTGGTGCTAAACAAATGGGGCCTCCTGGTTTTCATGGCCAAACACAATAGCATCAACTACAACAGAAGCATCCTCAGAAGGAGGAATCCAAAATTAAGAAGATGTTTACTCAGTTATTAGCAAATCAAGAATCTGCAAGGGCTGAGAATAAGGCAACCTTCTCTCTCTATGAAACTGCTATCAAGAATCTCGAGGTTCAAATGGGTCAATTGGCTTCACAAATGAATGTACTCATAAGAAACAGCCTTCCAAGTGATACCATTCCCAATCCAAAAAGGGATGGTAATGAAGAGTGTAAAGCTATCAATTTAAGAAGTGGAAAGCAACTACTTGACATTCCGAGGCCTAGTAAGACCAACAAAGACATTACTAACAGTGTGGTGATTGACCTTGATACAAATGAGCTTTCAGAAGAAGGTGCTATAGTAGAAGAGGAAGACACCAAGAAAAGGAAACAAATAGAAGAAAATCTCAATGACGTGGTTCAAGGGAAAAATGTAGAGGGTGAAATGGTTGATGATAAAAAGAGGAAGACAACTCCTCCTCCTTCTACACAGATGCCGCCACTTCTCTTTCCTCAAAGGTTTAGGAAGAAAGATGAAGATGTTCAGTTTAAGAAATTTGTGGACATGTTTAAGCAATTACACATCAATATCCCGTTTGCTGAAGTATTAGAGCAGATGCCTAAGTATGCTAAGTTTCTCCAGGATGTTCTCTCCAAGAAGAAGAGATTTGGTGAATTTGAAACAGTAGCCCTACTGAAGATTGTAGTGCCATCCTGCAGAGAAAACTTCCACCCAAATTGAGAGATTCGGGCAGTTTTATATTCCATACAACATAGGCAAACACTTCAATGGAAAAGTTTTATGCGATTTGGGATCAAGGGTTAACTTGATGCTTCTAGCTGTTTTCAATTGATTAAATTTAGGTGAAGCAAGGCTAACAACTATTACATTGCTCTTTGCTGACAGAAGTATCTCACATCCAAAAGGGGTTATAGAAGATGTCTTGGTGAAGGTAGATAAATTCATATTCCCAGTTAATTTCATTATGTTAGACTGTGAGGTAGATTGGAACATCCCCATTATTTTAGGACGGCCATTCTTAGCTACCGCAAGAACTCTCATTGACATGGAAAAGGGTGAGATCACCATGCGAGTAAATGATGAGAAGGTGATATTCAACATGAATCAAGCCCTAAAGTTTCTAGATGATTCTCTTTACTGTAATTTTATCGATTTGATTGACTTTGCAGTGCAAGAGGAGTTGATTAACTCTTTGACCAAAGATCCCTTGGAAGCATTGTTGATTGGAGAAACAAGTAGTATTGATGGCAAGGTTGAAGCATATGCAGAAATGATGAGTATTGAAGCATTTTCTTATCAAAAAGCTAAGACTTTTGAGCCTCTTGATGTGACTAGTGCTTTAAGCTCTCCACTAAAGCCTTATGTTGATGAACTGCTGGTGTTAGAGTTCAAGACTTTACCGTCGCATCTCAAGTATGCCTACTTGGGTAGTTTTGCTACATTACCTGTGATTGTTTCTTCTCAGTTATCCACATTACAAGAGGAGAAACTGTTAAGGGTCTTGAGAAACCACAAGAAGCTATTAGGTGGTCCATAGCTGACATCAAAGGGATCAACCCTTCTTTGTGCATGCATAAGATTTTACTAGAAGATGGTCATAAACCTTACATTGAGCATCAAAGGAGATTAAACCCGGTTATGAAAGAGGTGGTCAAGAAAGAGATCCTCAAATGGCTTTCTGCTGGCATAGTATACCCTATTTCTGATAGTGGCTAACACCCGAAATGAGCTAGTTCCAACTCATACTGTGACTGGGTGGAGAATTTGCATGGACTATCAAAAGTTAAATACAGCAACCAGAAAAGACCATTTCCTACTGCTATTTATTGATCAGATGTTAGATAAACTTGCCGGGCAAGAATTCTTCTGTTTCTTGGATGGATATTCAGGCTACAACCAAATCATAATAGCCTCAGATGATCAAGATAAAACAACCTTTACTTGCATGTATGGCACGTTTGCTTTCAAAAGAATGTCGTTTGGTCTTTGCAATGCTCCAGTAACATTCCAAAGGTGCATGATGGCCATCTTTGCTGACATGATTGAGAAGACAATTGAAATGTTCATAGATGACTTCTCCATTTTTGGAGATTCTTTTGATTACTGCTTAGATAATTTTGTGCCTATTTTACAAAGGTGTGAAGAAACTAACTTGGTTCTGAATTGGGAAAAATGTCACTTCATGGTACAGGAGGGCATTGTCCTTGGTCATCGAGTATCCAAACAAGGCCTAGAAGTTGACAAGGTAAGGGTATCTGTTATTAAGCAATTGCCTCCACCAATAAGTGTAAAGGGTATTAGAAGTTTCTTGGGTCACGTGGGATTCTACCGTCGTTTCATTAAAGATTTTTCTAAAATCACTAAGCCTTTATGCAATTTGTTGGAGAAAGATAGGGAGTTCAAGTTTGGTGACGCTTGTATGAACTCTTTTAAGGAGTTAAAGAAAAAGCTTACATCAGCACCAATTATAGTGGCACCTAATTGGGAGCTACCTTTCATCATTATGGCAGATGCTAGTGACTTTACCGTTGGAGCAGTGCTGGGACAAAAAGTAGAAAAGGTCTTCTATCCCATCTACTATGCAAGTAAAACCCTGGATGATGCTCAACTTAACTACACTACTACAAAAAAAGAATTGTTGGCAGTGGTGTTTGCTTGTGACAAATTCCACTTTTATATTGTAGGCACTAAAGTGACTATCTATACAGACTACTCTGCTCTGAAGTACTTGTTTACCAAGAAAGATTCCAAAGCACACCTGATTCGCTGGGTCCTTTTGCTTCAAGAATTTGACTTGAAAATTATTGATAGGAAGGGCACTGAAAACCAAGTGGTGGACCATCTGTCTCAATTGAGTAGTGGAACTCAACATGATCATTGCCAAGAGATCAATGCAGCTTTCCTTGATGAATGCCTATTCTTTGTGGATGACTCGATTGCTCCATGGTATGCAGATCTGGTTAATTATCTGGTTTGTGGAACTCTGCCACTAGACCTTAACTCCCACCAAAAGAGGAAATTTCTTCACCATGTGAAGATGTACTTCTGGGAAGAGCCTTATTTGTTCAAAAGATGTGCCAATCATATGATAAGAAGATGTGTTTCAGAAGTTGAGCAGCAAGATATTCTAGAGTGTTGTCATTCTTCTGCCTATGGCGAGCACTTTGGAGGAGAGAAAACCGCTGCCAAAGTCCTTCAAAGTGGTTTCTATTGGCCTTTACTGTTTAAAGATGCATACGTCGTTGTGATCCGATGTGATTGGTGTCAACGAGTAGGAAACATATCAAGAAGGAATGAAATGCCTCTCAATAATATTCTGGAAGTTGAACTCTTTGATGTATGGGGGGTTGATTTCATGGGCCCTTTCCAAAGTCTCTTAATCAAGAGTACATTCTTGTTGCTGTAGACTATGTCTCGAAATGGGTTGAAGCTATGACATGTGTATCCAGTGATGCTAAAACTGTGATCAAATTCTTAAAGAAAAATATCTTCACTAGATTTGGAGCACCTCGGGCTATCATTAGTGACAGTGGCTCCTAGTTTTGCAATCACCAATTTCAAGCTCTGATGAAGAAATATGGTGTGAAGCACAGGGTAACTTTATCTTATCACCCTCAGTCAAATGGCCAAGCTGAAATATCTAACCAAGAGATTAAAAGCATTCTTGAGAAGGTAGTAGGTGCAATCAGAAAAGATTGGTCATTAAAACTGGATGACTCTCTTTGGGCCTACAGGACAGCGTATAAAACTCCGATTAGGATGTCTCCCTATCGGTTGGTGTTCGGAAAAGCATGTCATTTGCCTGTAGAATTGAAGCATGGGGCTTATTGGGCCATAAAAAAGCTCAATCTTGACTTTCAAGCTGCTGGTGCAAAAAGGATCCTTCAATTGAATGAATTAGAGGAATTTTGCCTTAATGCCATGAAAGTGCAAGGCTCTATAAGGAATTGACCAAGAAGTATTATGATCAGAAAATTATACCTAAGGTCTTTGAAGTTGGGCAAAAGGTGTTACTTCACAATTCCAAATTGAGACTATTTCCGGGCAAACTCAAATCACACTGGTCAGGGTCATTCATTGTGGTACAAGCTTCTAACCATGGTGCAGTGGAGCTAGAAAATAAAAAGGGTGAAAGATTTCATACAAATAGCCATCGTTTGAAGCATTATTGGAGTGGAAAGGTGGATCGTCAAGTCTCTACGATCTACTTCACTAAGCAATCATAAAAGAGCTGAAGAGTCAGGCTGAAGACTATAAACCAAGCGCTACTTGGGAGGCAACCTAAGCTCTAAACTTGCCTTTTATGTGTTTATTGTATTTCGGTTTTGTTTTAGTAGATTTACGTTTGATCTTTGTTTTTGTAGGCCTGAAGGTTTATTCCTTAAACTTTGGAGCTTAGCAGAAGGAGTGGCTAATTTCGGATTAGCACAACCAGGGAAGTGCACCTAACCTTAATCTCCAGCATTAACCTTGACCTTATTGATACATCTGGAATATCAAATGCATTTGATTGAAAATTCATTGATATTGTGGCTTTGATTGGTTACTTTGATTATGTTGGAGCTTGTGTTAAATTGAGGCTTGTGGGTTTTGTTTTTGTGTGGTTGTCTGTGTTATGTTGTTTCCTATGATTGTGCTTGTGTTTAGTCTTATTTTATTGTGTGTTGTGTGTTTGGATGTGGTAGGTCCAGTTAGTGTTTGGTAATTTTTCAAGGTAGGCCTGTTTTGTAAAACCCGCCGCGACGTGTGTGTGCTCAGAAGCCACGATGGCCTGTCCTTTTTAGTGTGCATACTCTGTAAGAGGTGCTGCCACCCTTGCTAAAATTCGTCGCGATGCCTTTGTCCTTGTTCTTGATGTGAGTCTCTGTAAAACCCGCCGCGGCGTGTGTATCTAGAAGCCGTAGCGCCAGTCCTCTTTCCCAGAGTCCAATTCTGTTTGAGGCACGGCAGCATAAGCACTCATGTACTTCAGTGCCCTTCTTTTACCCAGGTTTAGCAATTCTGTAATAGGCACCACGGCCCCTATCAAAATTCACCGCGGCGCCTTCTCATATTCTGCGGTGTCCATTTTCGTGTTTCCTGTTTTACCCATCCTTATTTTTCTGAATACCCACTTTGCCCCTATGTATCTGACTGGTTTTGGGGGTAGATTCGCTGTTTTCATTTTACATTCTTAACCCTTTGGTCATTTCCTTACATCCCCTATTTTAAACTCCTTTGGACTCCCCAAAATTGTATGCTGATGGTTACCCCCTTCTCTAAAGCATACTCGGTTCCCTCCCCCTCACTGCCATTCTCTCCCGTTCTCTCATCGTCGATCACCTCTCTCTCCCTTGCACGCCACTGGTTCCTCACCGCCACTCTCCCTCACTGTCGTTCGCTCCCATTCTCTCACTATCGACCCCCATTCTGATCTCCATCACAGTCTCTCCTCCATACTCTCTCATCATCGATGCCTCCATAACCCCTCCACAGCACCTTCCACTTATTCATCTTCCTTCGACAAAACGGCTATCATCACCGTGTGGAGTGCTTTTGCGTCTTCTCTCACTTGCCCGTGTTTTCTTCTCACTTTGTCTGCTAGAGGTTTGTTCTTTCTTTCTCTTTTCCTTTCTCCTTTAGTTTATTTTCGGTGGAGATGGGTGTTGATAGGATTGTGCATTGTGGTTAGGTGATATTTGAACTGTAGATGGGGGCATTTTGATTCTCTGAGGTTGTTTTATGGTTAGGTTTTTAAGAAAATTTCCAAGTGATAATTCCACATTGCCTAACTGCTTGTGAACGTGTACTGATGAAAATGTAAAACTTGTGAAACTAAGTGATCATAGCTTGGAACTGATTTGAGAAAGAAAATGCAGTGCCTGTCCAAATTTTCAAATGACACCAGTCCCTTACCCAAGTTATGTTATTCATTTTCACCTGTAATTGAGTTTGAAATGCTATTCTGTTTGAGAAATCAAACCAATTGAAAGACCTAGTTGCTATTTTAGTGAAAACAGTTTAAATTGGCAGCTACTGATGGTTGTCTAAATTTGAAACTATTTTGTAAAAGAGAACCTGTGTGAATTCGATTTGGATTGAGGGTCTATTATGACTCAGGTTTAGAAAGGGCTTAAGTAATGGTGAGAGTGTGATGTTGGGATTGCTTGAGGTTTGCTTTGACTTTTAATCTCGCTCTTTGATTTAAGTTTGGGGGAGGGCTTTTTTAGGTTAGTTTTGTTTTTCTTTTCAGTTGTTTTGTGGTTGTGGTATGTTATTTGCTTAGTTTGTGTATGGTATGCTTTGCTCTTTCTATACAGGTAACAATCAAATGGCCCCTAGGAAGAAAGCCTGTGCTACCTCCCCTGATCCCCCTATCAAGGAGCTTGTTGAAAGGAGAGGGTTTCATCAAGAAAGGGAATTTCCTTGCACAAACAAGTTTGGATTTTATAAAAAAGCAAGGAAGCTCAAACTCTTAGATCTGATTGGACCCAAAACCGAGGGGAATGAGAAGCTGGTTAGGAAGTTTTATATTAGGGTCGCAACAAATTTGAGTAATGAGATGTTTATCCGGTACCAACGTGTCCTCATTACTCCAGAGCGCATCAGAGATTACTGTGAGCTTCCCAAGGTTGAAAATTGCCAATATCAGTGGTATCTCAGCAACCAAAAGGAGATTCCTCTCGGTGCAATCTCAGTAACACTCACTGGTTCTGATGAGAAGATATGGGTGAGACCCAAGAGGGGCCAGGCTTATATTATGCGAAAGGACATGATAGCTGAGGCCAGAATCTGGTTGCATATTGTCACAAGGAACATTATGCCAACCACCCATCTTAGTGAAGCCCCATGGAATCTGGCACTTTTGATATATCTATTCATGATCAAAGCGACAGTGAATGTAGGGAAATTGATTTTTGATGCCATATGGGATGCTAGTAGAGCCCACAACCCTAATCTAGTCATGCCTCACCTCATCTCGGATCTGTTAACTAAAGCGGAGGTAGAATGGAAAGAAAACGATCAAAAGTTCAAGCCGGTTTCACCATTCAACTACTCCAATTTGGTTCCTGAATGAGAACAGTAACGGATCACTGAAGCCATGTACGCTGAATAGTTTCCTGAGGAGTATAGGAGGAAACAGGAAGCTCAAGCCAGTGCCAGCGCCGACCCTACCACTTGAAGCTTAGATCTCCTCCACGAGAAATTGGATAGAGAGATACATCACAAGAGATGTAGACAGAGGTGCATAGAGGAACTGTTAGTCTAGATGGCAAGAAAACTGGACATTAACGCATCGGATGTGGGAGATACAAGCACTGATGCAGAGTCACCGAGAGAGGAACATGAAGCTGGAATGTCTGATGCTGGTATTGGTTCAGGAGATGATATGGCTGTCGACCTGTTTACAGAGGGTAATGAGGATCAAGGGGTCAGTAGTCTGACGAGGTGGATGCCTAGCTGGGGCCGTTTCTGCTGCTGCTGTTGCTTTTGTTTTTGTTTTTGTTTTTGTTCTTGCATTTTCCTGGGACTTGCTCTATTTTATGTGTCGTTATTTGCTTTGCTGGTTCTGAAAAGGCTATTGATGGCCTGTTGAATTGATTGTGACTCTTGAACAGTATTTGTCATTGTTGATTATAACTGCGTTAACTACTAAGAACTGATTGAATATGTGGATTGTTAACGGATCTTTTCATTAATTTGTGGATACCAATAGTAATTGCTGATTTCATTGTGGTTATCTGATAGCGATACTGTTGATAGTTATGCATATTGCTATACTTGTACAGGAAGAAAAGCCAATTTTGACCTTTCATGCGGTAGATATATTGTTTTTGGATTCTGACTGCATGCCCTGATGTTTACTTACTCTTGTTGACAGTGAGGACACTGTCAGTTTTAAGTTTAGGGTGAGGATTGATTTTTGGGGATAACAGGATTTTTGTGGATAACAAGGTTAAATTTGAAAAGTTTTGAAAGGTCGCTTTTTTGAGTAAATTTTTTTTTAGTAAAAAAAAAACAGTTGAAACAGTAGAAATTTTGTTAGCTTAAATTTTTGCTCATTCGGTTTTATGAAAGATGAGCTAAAGTGGCGAGTTGTTAGTTGAGAATGCATGAATGGTCCAATGATTGAACAAAATGCTTAGTTACTACGCTTGATAGGAAGTTTTGAATTGCTCTTTGATGCTTGAATTTTGAGGTTAAAACCTGTGTTTCTTTAATTTTGGAGAAACTAATGCACAAAAAAGGTCAAGACATTTTAAGTGATTATGTTGAGGTTGAGTGGATAATTTAGTCTTTATACTTTTATTTCAACTAAATTGCTTCAAAACCTTCTTCTGATTTCTCAAAGTTTATGGTTTGTTCTATATGAATTTGAAAAAGGATTAGGGCAATTCTTAAATGCGTTTAAGCTTTTCAAGCTGACCTTAAAGATATTGTCCTTTGAACCCATACTTTGACCCGTAATTTGAAAAAAAAAAAGTGTATATATGTTTACATTTTGTTTCAAACCCTAACCTCTTCCTAGCCCAAAACCAATTGAGAAAAACCATGAAGTCCCTAGCTTTGAGATAAATGGAAGTTGGAAGGATAAGGAGTTTGATGAGATGTTGAGATTTTGAAAGGTTGGCAGGGGTAATGGAAATATTCTGGAAATTTAAAGTGTAAGAAATTAAGTTGTGAGTTATTGTTTTTAATGTTAAAAAAAAAGAGAAAGAGAAAAAGAAAAAAGAAAAGAAAAAGAGAAGGGCATATAAATATTTAGTACAACTCCATGAAAGCTTGGTGAAAAAAGAATAAATTTTGGTACAAGTTTGGGAGAATGAAAGTGGTTAAAGTGAGTTCTGATTATGAATATCTATTTATCTCAAAGTATTTGTATACTCTATTTTCCCTTTCTTTCCTAAACCATCACCTCTTGGCCACGTTACAAGCCGAAAAGTCCCTTTGATTTCAAATTTATGTGGGGT